ACTCACAGTCTGTTCAGCCACAGGAACTTCTGTTTCACCAGTGTATCTGCAGAGCTCCACTTTCCCTTTTCCCTTCTGGAGGAACTCAATTAGCGCTTTGCATATTAGTTTTTTAAAATGACCATTTCCCATGCAAGTGGTCTTTCGATTCAAGAATAATATTTTGTCTGGCTCTTGGAATGACCTGTGATCAAGGCTAGTGAGGTCTGAAGGGTCACATGAGCAGTTTGTCTCCAGCCACATGGTGCCCTCTATTTCTGATGCCTCTATACTTCCCCAGCTGTTTTATCACCTGGCTTCTGGCTGTTCCAGGATCTCTTAGTATGTCTCCTCTTGTTCCATCCATTCTGCACTGCTAGATTGGTTGCACTCTARGCCTGGGGTATGGCTGTTCATCTGGGACTTCCCTTTGCCTACTTTCACTTACCTGGACACACTAATTTACTGGAATACCCTGACTTTGTTCACTAACACCCTAAAGCATGGCATATAAGAATAAAATTTTAATCCTTTACATGTCTGAAGATGTTTTTGTTGCTAGTCTTTCTCTTGACAAACCATTGGGGATGGGTAGAGAATTGAAAGTTAAAAATAATTTTCCCTCTGAATTTTGAAGGTGCTTTTTCCTGCTATTTTCTGTTTTCCTCATTGCTGTTGAGAAGTATAATGCCACTTAGTCCTTAATTCTTTGAATGTCACTCATTTCATCTCTGAAACTTCTCTCAGTCTGTTCAGGCTGCTATAGCAAAAATATCGTAAACAAGGTGACCTATAGCAACAGAAATTCATTTTTTTAAAAAATTCTAACTAGTTATACATGAGAGCAGAATGCATTTCAATTCTTTGTACACAAATGKAGCACAACTTTCCTTTTCTCTGATTGTACACGATGTAGAGTCACACCTCATKCGCAGTCATACATGTACCTAGGGTAATGATCATCATCTGAAAATTCATTTATTATAGTAATAAGGCTGTTAGCCCAGAACCAGCAAATTTGGAGTCTGGTGAGGGCCCATTTCCTGGTTCATGGATGGCTGTCTTCTGACTACCACCTCACATTATGGAAGGGACAAAGGTCTCTCTTGGGTCTCTTTTACAAGGACATTAATCTCACTCATTTGGACTCCACACTGGTGACCTAATTCCTTCCTCAAGGCGCACTCCTTAATACTATCACACTGGGAGTTAGAATTTCAACATATGAATTTTTGAGGGCATTCAAAATTTTTGGGATAGTCCTATTATGTCTGGTGGTTTGAAATTGGATTCTTTGCACTGGACTCAGTGACCCTTATCATTCTAAAATCACACTTCCACAAATGCAGATGTTATTGGAATAATAAACGTTATTGGACTAATGAAGAAGAAAAATTTCACCCCACTTCATTTCACTGTTCTCTCTTTTCAGAACTCTTGTGAATCAGATGCTGGGTCTCGCGGATTCACCATTTTTCCCCCCCTACTTTAAATTTCTTTGCCTTTCTGTTCTATTTTCTAAATATTTCCTTGACTTTATAATCCTATTGATATTTCTATATTTTACTTCATTATTTCTTTTAAAATATTCTGCTCTTTTCTGAATAAAGTATCTTCTTTAATTTCTCTGAGGATATACATTTAAATACTGTTTAAAATCCCTATTTTCCCCCTTTTGTTCTCTGCAGGTCTCTCTTCTTGATTATTTGCTTGTCTTGTCTTTCAATTGTCTTTTAAGTTGGAAAATTTCTGAACYGTTCCCCAATCCTTGGCTGTCCATCCACATTTAAGAACATAGCCTGGAAGAGCTATTTGGAAGTACGGTCTAGTAGACTTTTAAGCTGGAGCACAGTGGTTTTGTGTGATCTCAAAATTTTAGTGTCTTTGTGAGGTGCTCTGTGTACTTATTGCCCCCACCATCTCATTTTGCAATTCTCTGCTCTCCTCTGCCCCACCAAGCTGACCATGAGAATTGCACGCTTGGGGTCTACACATTTGGACTGAGAGGAGAGGAGAGTAGGCACTTTAAGGATATTGGTGATTGGAAAGAAAGAGATCAGATGGCAGGGCCTTTTGTTTATTTTATTTTATTTTTTCTGATTTCCTCTCTGTTTCAGTACAGAATCTTTAGCAGCATTTGTCACTCTCCACACTTGCATTTCTGCATCGACAGTCCTGTTCCACTGTTCCACTTCACATTAGCTTCCATTTTCTCCCATCATCTCTTCCTTCAACCCTGGGCTGGCAATGGCTTCCTGCTGTGGCTAGTTACTAGATAACTCACCATCTCTCATTTGTACATAGTTCTCTCATCAGCATTTTTCATCTGGATCATCTGGGGTGAATGTGTTTTCCTGCCAGAACAGTAGCCACAAGTCTTTCCTTTGGAATGCCTCAGCTTCCATAAAAATTCGCTAATGTTTTTCTCGGGAATAGAGAAAGCATATGCCTGACTATAAATGTTCACAAGAAAAGGATCTCTGGGGTGTGGGTTCAAATGATAAAGTAGCCTTTATCACGAGTTATCAACATTTTATTATAGAAGCTCTACCCTGTCTGTTAACTGTTCTTGTTTTTTGAGATTTCCCCTCCACAAAACAAATTTCCAATTGCTTGGTTGTTGGGCCATCAGGGATGGAGAAAAGATCCAAGGGCAATTAGACCATCCAGGCTTTTAACCAGTTCTTTCTGCTTCAGTTGCATGATTTACCCAACCTCCTGAAATATGGGTACCTCTAAATGCTGAATCTTTCCCAAGCAACGTGGCTGGACTCAGCCTGCTGTTTACTGACATGCTTCTCTTATGATTCTTGTTTTCTCAGGTATGCTCTTTCCCCAATTCATTTTCCATTTACTAAACACTTTTGGCTTCTCTAATCTGATGTTGTTGATCTGCCAATTCTCTTTGTCCTTTGGCCAAAACCATTTTCTTCTAACTTTACAATTATTTTAGTAGGATTCAGAGTGGAATAGAAAATAAACATGTTTCTATTTCACGACAAAACTGAAAATTGCCCCCATTATCTTTTAACTAGTGTAGATCCTGGCACTGAAGGCATCTGTTGTTGCTAAAAGGAAAGGTCAATGGAGTGAAATCCTGGAGGCATCCAGGAAGAGCAAAATTATTCTGCATAGGACAAAAGGAAGCTCAAAAAGATCAAATTGGAAATTTAATAAAGTTTACAAGTGTTTTGTATGATGCAAAATGTATTTCATGTTTTCCCCCAAATCAACCCAAATAACAAAGTAAAACTTTTGTCTCACTTGCTTTTGCTTTTGGTATGGATTGGCTTCAAGGGAAAAGTGCTGAATTCCACTTAAGTTAATACCACGCATGAAGACAAGCAGCATTTAGATTCTATTACTTTTTTGCTTCTTTCTTTCTTTCTCTCTCTCTCTCTTTCTTTCTTTCTTTATTTCTCTTTCCTTCCATTCTTCCATTCAAAAATATTAAATACTGTCTACCTGGGTATTATTCCAGATACTAAGAATTATGATCTCTTATTTCAATGAGTTTACTATACAGCTGGGAACACCAGGAGGTACATCCCCCATGTTGGAAAAGTGAGGATAGTGTGGGAAGAACTGAAGCTGAGAAATGATCAGAACACTTGGTGTAGAAATGAGCAAATCCATAAAGACCCTACATGCCAGGTTAGAATGTAAGAATTACTTTGAGTTAATGATAATGCATAGTTCACTTGAAAATTGCTAAGGGATTAGATCTTAAATGTTCTTAAGACACATACACACACACACACACACACACAGGTTATGGGTATGTTAATTAGCTTGATTATAGAAATCATTTCACATTTATAACTGAATCAATCATGACATTGTATTTTATTTGGAGGGTGGGTACCGAAGATTGAATTCAGGTGCACTCAACCATTGAGCCACATCCCTAGCCCTATTTTGTATTTTTATTAGAGACAGGGTCTCACTGAGTTGCTTAGCACCTCACTACATTGCTGAGGCTGGCTTTGAACTTCTGAGCTGCTGGGATTACAGGCGTATGCCACCAGCCACATTGTATTTTAAACATATTGAATTTTTGTTTGTCAATTAAACCTCAGTAAGGCTGGAGGAAGAGTCTCACCTAAGAGAATGACTATTTTATACATAAATATGTTTTCAACATTTTTAACAGACTGACATGTATTAATATAATATATCCAATAAATATTCATGTAACACCTAAAAGAGAATTAATACAGAATAAATAAAACAAGAATATTCTGAACGGTGCCATGGGATGGGGACATGAATTCAGGAAGGGCTGTCCAAGTGGGGAACTGTTCCAAGTAAGCCTAGGGCAATTAATGGAGAAATGAATATGTTATGAATTTCATTGTGAAAACTGGAAAAAATTTCCAGAATTTTAAGATGAGGGGTGAGATATTAGAAGTTTACACTATTAGAAGACCCTTTGGAGCATTGTAGAGGACAATGTAATATAGTAGGGCAAGACAGGAGGCATAGAGACCAGAAAAGACGGTGATTGCTATCTAGTAGTGGTAAGTGCCATGTCAGTGACAGGTGAGCCACCTATAAAGAGAGAGTGGGAGGAGACACCAAGAGGTRGTTAATATCCACACAATCTGTTACTTGATTGTTAGGGTGGGAAAGGGGCAGAATTTAAAACATATAGAAAGAATATCCAAGATGTTTCTTGAATGTCTGGCTTATTCAACTGATTTCAAGGGACTTAAACTTATTCAGAGACCTTAAATTGGACACAATGACATTCGGTGAGGGGGTTTCCAAGAACAAGGAGAAACAACAGGCTGAAATAATAAGGCTGATGAATAATATTTGCTTACAGAGAGATATTAGAGGCTAGACATTTCTAATTAAAACTCAAATCTAATGTCYACAACTCCAGGGGACCAGAGGATCCTTACAAACTCCAGGGGAACGGCAATCCTTGTGACAGAAATGAGATGGCCTCTACTGCTGCTGGGCACATTTGAAGGGGAAGCAAGGAAATTACATTGGGCGGCTCTCTGAACACCTAGGAAACACAACATCCTGCACCGTTCTGTGCCCCATACAGGAACACACCTATAGTAATTAAAAATATCATCAGATGTGTGACCTCACAATTGCATATAAAACATAGACGAACAGGCAAGTCCATAGACAGAACGCAGAATTAAGGTTGCTAAGGACTAGGGGATGGGAGAGGGATGAGGACTGATGGTCAATGAGTATTGGAGGGGTTTCTTTTGAAAATGTTCTGAAATTCAATATTGATGATGATTTTACAACTTTGTGAACATATTGAAAAGCATTGAGTTATATACTTCATAAGGATGAATGTGTTGGGTGCAGTGTGGCACGCACATGTAATCTCAGCTACGCAGGAGGCTGAGGCAGGAGGATCTCAAATTTGAGGTCAATCTGGACAACTTAGATCTCCTGTGTTACAATAAAAACATTTTAAAAGGGCACAGGATGTAGTTCAGTGGTAGAGAACTTACCCAGCATTTGTGAGGTCTTGGATTCAATGCCCAGGACTACAAAATAAAAATTTTTAAAGGTGAATGTCATGGTATGTGAGTTATTTTTCTCAATTAAAAGAAAAGAAAAAATAGAGCAAAGTCCCAGGGCCCAGATACCGCCAACCACATCATGTGGGGCATCACCTCCTCCTAGGAACTTACAGACAACAGCACTATCCTCTGAGCTGTGCTCTGCTCCTCTCATCAGGGACCTTCAGTCTTGGCCAACAGAAGCTTTGTTTAAGATAGTGGCATTTATCAAACACCTGGTCATCTACAGCTTCTCTTATTTTAAGAGAGACCCCATTACCCAAGGAACAAACTAGAAGAACTAGAAAGAGAAGATGATTATTTCAGCCAGCCCAAATGAAAATTTCCCTCAGCTTCTAGCTTGGTTCATCAAAGAAATAAACATACACACACACACACACACACACACACACACACACACACACACACTGTCTTATCCATTTTCTTTTATCTCAATATGTTTGAAATCTAATCAACTTTTTAAACTGAATTAGAGAGAAATGATTATATACCTGGTTACTTTAATAAGACTGAAATAGGTTTTCCTTACCAAAAATCAGATACAACATGCTGTTGGCTAGAAAAAAAAATGAGATTAAAAGTCAGTATGACACAGGTGTCACCCCTAGTAGCTTATGATTTTGGAAAAGCTGTTTGAAAGATGAACTTTTGTTTCTTCAGTTCTAAGTTGAGGATAATATGGATTAAATGGCATAAAACATACAGGGTCTAGCAGCATTTGGCAAGATGTTTTTCAATAGCTATGTTTAGTCCATTCTTTGTTATGACAGAAAAGGATGTATTTTTATGGTATTTTTTTCTATTTTCTTACTTTCCCTCTCTCTTTACTCTAATATTTCTTTAAAAGAAAAAGTCTGAATTCTACTAAAAAGAAAGTACCAAAGTCTAAGATGCTTTATGATTTTTCAGTATATTAAAAAAAAGAATCAGCCATTGAATTTTTACTTGTATTTATGAGTCATTTGAGCATAAAATAGAGGAAGTTCTGGAAGCTCAGTGATTTTCCATTGCTTGGGCATAATCACGTAGCTGATAGGTCTGCCTGGCCCTTTCYTCACCACTTTCCTCGCCCCCCGTGTGCACTTAACATATCATTTGCATGTTGGCAAGACACTGACTTTAATATGCTGTAATAAAAAAAGGGAAAACAGAACCCAAACAGGAAATGAAACACCTTTTTTAATAACTGATGCATTAAATGAGGAACAGTTTTCTTTCATGAGAATATATTACTTGACCTTCTGCAGAGACAAATTCATTAGATTTAATTTTGAGGAACTGATTACAGTTTTTTAGCTCAGAGATGGTTTGATTTGACTGAAGTCTGGTTAGGATGCAAAGAGGCTATTAAAATGACTTTTTAAGCATTTTTTTTCTAAAGAGCAGTCCATTAATTGCTTGTGAATATTCATCCCTCAAACCTCCTACTCTATTAGGTTCAAACCAGAGTTGTAAGATTACGATGTTTTTATTGATATAATTAATAACAAATGTTACTCGTTAACTTGGTTATCATCAAATTGGACACTTGACAAATGTACTCAGGGCCTTGCTCCAGTGAATTTAATATAGATATGAGGCAAAGTATCGACCTTAAAAGATGAAATCAAGAACATTACTGTAGAAATAAATTTAGAAAGTGGAGAAAGCACTGTACTGAGTTTTGGGGAAGCACAAAAATAATGATTTTTAAAATTAATTCTTTTTAGGTTTCTGTGAACAACATGTTCAAATAATTTAATATATATGTTCAATATATTACACCAATCGAAATGTTAAAAGATACTTTAAAATATCAGAAGCAAGAAGAATACCACAAAAAAAGCAATACTATGCAACACAGAGAGATTAGATCATGAATTTAAAAAAATAACTCTACTTTTTCTCCATTTTTTATCCTGTGGCCATGAAAAATCTAGCTCTCTTATAATCAGAAGACCTAAGGAGTAGCAGCATCGAAAACCTTCCACCCTATTGTAACTCTAAATATTGTAACCTTAAAAGTTGTAGTAGGGTATGGGCCAGCTGATCTCAGTCGTGTAAAGTCATAGGGAACTATGTGCACAAAGGTAGTCTTAGAATCCAGAATTGAATTTTAAAGCAGATTACATTAATTTGGAATTTATTTATGGAGTGAATTGATGTTTACCTTTATGATGTTTGAAAGAAAAATCAAAATGTAACAAGATTTTTTTTTCTTTTAAAGAAATAGACTATTTTTCAACCTAAGCAGTGACCTTTGCTGTGCTAGTCTCTGACCCACATGAAAGGGGCGGTGGGGAGGATAGGAATGTGAGGAGCCTGTGAAACAAGTGCACACTAGTGTCAACTTGACCAGACATAATTACTAGGTAGATGGAAAGGAAATTGGGTTCTGGGAGGCCAAGGTAGGTTACTGTTTTATCAAGTTTACAGGTCAGGAACTGAAGCTGAGAGGTTGTTACCTGTGCARAATCTCACAGCTGCTTTATTATAGTGCTGTGAATCAATTCTAAATCTTTTGTCTATAAAACCCGCACTTTTCCTACCAGAACTTCTCCAGAACACCTTCATGGTTAACCCTCCTTGAATAAAAAAATGTAGAGCAGGTCGGGGTGGGTCAGGGTCCCCCGACCCTTGCTCTTTTTGGTTCTCCTACAAGTAGGCTTTGCATTTGTCACCTCAGGGTCCCTCTGTGAGCTGAGGCCTCTGTGGCTAGACATAAAGTTGCCATCTTCCCTCATATTTAAACTTACCTGGTATGCATACACTTCATTGTGCTGACATGGTATGGGAATTCAAAGAAACAGAATATAGTTAACAGGATGCCGGTAAAATGATGAGAAGACAAGGGCAGGACTGTCTTCGCTTTTATCCTCCCAAAATAAATGAGAATTTCAGGCAACTAAAGGAGAAAGTTGGAAGAGATATTTTTGGTCAAGAAGACATTTAGAAGTCCTGCATAGGAAATCCGATAAGTGGAGTCAACTTCACGAATGTGTAAAGATATGTATATGTATGTAGGTGTGCACTCATGCATACATTCCTTGTTTCTGTATCCTCTTCCTCCTTTTTGGTACTTTCACACTCCATGTCCCTTTTCCCACCTCAGGTCTCCAGCTGCCTAAGCGCCCCCTGGGCCGGGCAGCATAATTTATACACAACATCTTTTGTTTTCTTTCCTTTTCCTTCAAAATTTATTAGTCCTATGGCTGGGCACAGCAATGCACACCTGTAATCCCAGCTGCTTACAAGCTGATGCAGAAGTATCTCAAATTCATAGCTATTCTCAGCAACTTAGCAAGGACCTAAATAACTTAGCAAGACCCTGTCTCAAATCAAAAGGGCTGGGGATGTGGTTCAGTGGTAAAGTACCCCTGGGTTCAATCCCTGATACTAAAACCAAACGACAACAACAGCAAAAAATTTACTAGTCCTTATACTTAGTACTCTGATTTCTTCTAGGAAAACTCAAACTAAAGTGTCTGCTCTTCCATTTAAAACTGATGTTTTCACTAGGGTTGTAGCTCACTGTTAGAGCACTTGCCTTGCATGTGTGAGGCACTGGGTTTGATCCTCAGCACCACATACAAATAAATAAATAAATAAAAGTGATGTTTTAATGGTTGCAGGGAAATGTTGTAATAACAGTATTAGAAACCCAGGTACATTATGTAGATACTTTTTTCAAAAATCACAGAATCAATTCCCAAAAAGAGCTTATTGTTTATTTTTACTCAGAACATATCACAGGGCATTGGTTCCTAAACCTATCTCAGGAAGTTTTTTATTAATGTTATTTTATGTTGAGATTTTGATTAAAACAGTTTTAACCAGTCAACTAATTTGACTTTTGCTCAAATTTTTTTATGTTTTTTTAAAAAAGATCCCATCAACCTTGCTTAACTCTAATATACAATTCACTTTTGGCACTTGAAATATTTCAGAATATTGCCTGTGACTCAATCTGCCTTTGGATTTCTTTTGGATTTACTATTTACTTTGGATTTCTTTTCAAATGTTTACAGCATTTTATAATTACTGCCCTTCAGTAAATATAGAAAACTGAGAGTTCAGTGTCTTAAAAGTCCAAGTTTACCTGCACACATATAAAACACACATGATATCATGTAGGTAAATTCCATTTTGGTAAAAAAAAAAAAAACATAAGAAAAAATTTCATATATGAAGTTTTGCCACTTAATTTGCATATATGAAGTTTTTAAGAAATACTTGAGACCCAATGTGTAGTTTTTATTTGCTTGTGTAACCAATCTCAGTTTACTTCTACAATCTGGCATAAGGGTTTCAGATCCAAAATAAGGCATACATATTCACATTGGAAAGAAACAATAGTCAGCTATGACCAGCATAAAYATTATTGGATTTAACACTCCCTCAAAAAATAACCTTCCAATGATTTGCTCAGACAACTATTTCTTAGATATAAACAAGCAACTTCTGATGCTTTGTAAAATAAATGGTCTCTTGAGACACAATTAATTGAGAGAACCATAATTTTAGAAAATACAACATTTTTATGAGGAAGTATGAAATCATAGGAAAGTTTATGGTGACTGATAAATCATTCTGAATATGAAGACTCAATAAAAAGAATTCAGCAGTGAGTCTCCATCACTATCTAAGGGACTGGTTAATGCTCATTTAGAAATAAAGTCCTATGGCAGAGACGGATGATAATGTTTTATTATTTTAACTCTTAATTTCCAGAGGTTTGTGCAACTCCACCATTTCATACCATCATGACTACCAAGTGACTTTCTAACATTGATTTGAGTTTGTAAAGAAACTTTCCTATGGGAAACTCTATTATTAATTGGCTGTCTCAAGTGTTATTCTGGTTGACTTCTTAGTTATTTTTTGTTATGAATTAATGAATTGGCATTCTTGATTACAAAAAAAAAAAAATTCTCAGGATGACTCAGTCTCTGAGAACTTACTTCTGACTAAAATAAGAAAACTTCTGTCCAAACCTGCAAATGAGAGGGTATGTGATCATCCAGGGGCAAGTAGGCACTCTTTTAAGACTTATACTGAAAAAACAGCTCTCTTTTTCTCTCTCTCTCTTTTCACTTTTCACATCACTTCAGCAAGTGTTAATTTTCAAGATTAAGCATCATGACCTCCATCTTTTTTGCATGCATATTTAGAATTAATCTCTATCAT